CCTGCTGCAAGTCCAGTACGAAGCCTTCACATAACGTCTTCGAGAAATTCCGTTCATAGAGCTGGATGGCCCAGTTCACTGCTTGAGTGAAGAGCCTTGCGACCGCGCTAATGAAAATTCCTTTCTTTTTTTTTTTTTTTGTGAGGCCGTCATTTTTTTTTTATTTGAACGGAAACTAACCAGCAACCCGTTGAGTGTACAAATAAACCGCCCTAATATCATAAAAACCGAGTTAAATGCAGATGCCCGTCGTCCACAACTGGAAGATGTGATAAACCCTCCAATATGGTGACTCCTAATGGCATGATGATTGCAGCTGGCAAGGATTTTGCATATGGCCTATTGTCAATTATTGACTAGGAAGGGTCATCTAGGAGCCGCAGTATTCACCTCAATTACTGCCATAAACAACTTTAAAGATAAAAAAACCCATTAAAGTCACATATCGATCTTTTAACATTTAAGGTCGATTCGATCGAGCTCCACGCTTTTGTCGCAGAAGATGCGCCGCGGGCGCTTTCCACAATACTCTTATGGTGAATTCCACTCGTAGATCTGGAGCGCTTTCCAAAATCCGCGAGGGAGGCAAAATTCCGCTCCGTGGGACTCGCTCCGAATCGACGAGGGGAAGATAAACTTGCATTTTTGGAGCGACCTCTCCCACACCCCTTCCCACCCATTCTCCCTCCGCCGTACAAAATGGCCGCTGCTCGAACAGCCCCACCAACGCCTCAGCCGGCTAATCTTTCCAACGACCAGTGACGACTGTCACTGCTTAGCTGCAGAAATAACACGCGACACAGGCCGGGAGAAATTATATGTACCACGGCGCCCATGTCAAAAATAACGAAGACGTCCGCGTTCGGCACCGTCACATACCTTTCGGCCGCCTCGAAGCGGCGGGGCACGGAAGCGATTGCCAGCGGTGGAGTTCAGATTTGTAGTACGACTTGAATAAACACAGAGGTAACAAACCATCACTTGCGCGGTCGTTGCCTAACCACTTCTTGCTTTATTTCACGGGAAAACACCGACGGAATGCAGTGCAGAAAGGTAAACAATCATTGGCTGCGGAATGAATAGGCCTAACCTTGCGTCTGCCTCCGGCTTTTCGGTCGTTCCTTTTCTCGTTCTTCCTCTCGCGATCACAGAGTCAGCGCTTACGATTTGCCACGCTCCACATTCCCGGCTTTTTATCCCTGGTCAATGCGAAGTAGAAGCGTTGGAGCCGTCACAATCCAGAGTAAACAACCGACGCACCCGAACAGATCCAACTCCACGACCCGACCGGCCCGCCGATCTCTCCAACCTCGCCGCGCATGCGCACCGCCGATTTAGACGGAAATCACGTGGGCCGCTCTGTCAACTTCCGGAGAGATCTGTGAAACCCCGCAGAGCAAGTTCGGCGGAGTTTGGGGCGCTCCGTGGAGCGGGCGCTGCCAGAGATCTACGAGCGGAAGATGACCAGCTTGAGCCAGATCTGCGAGCGGAATATGCGCGCTCCAAATGGAGCGCTTTTGGAGCGCTCGAGATCTGCGAATGGAATTCACCATTAGAGAGGAGAGATCGTTCTAGTTTTGGGCACCTGCCAATGCCGGCAAAGATCGGTCAGCGTATTCACTAAGAAAGCGTGTAAAGATATAATGACGAAGTGCATGAGACGACTACGCCACTTTCCTACTCAACATTGTGGGAAAAACACCTGATGTTCTTTCTGCGGCCAGATCCAAAATAAGCCGAGACAAAATAAAAACAACAAGAAAAAAACAACTGCGGGAAAACGGCTTCATCAATGCCTCTATACTCTTGTATTTACCAGATTGTTTAAATTGCCTTCGCGTCTAGAATAGACTGTCTCTAAAGCCGCAGTGAAACATGACGCAATATTTGTGTAACAAAACGTTAGTGCAGGGAGTTTTAATAATTTAGTTATCGTGCCGCATCTTCTTTCATATAATGTCTACCGAGACCGTTTAACATCTAGCAGAGGTGGTAATCTACGTATCGGCCATATCGTGATATAAAAAAAGAAGTAAAATTATATACAAACAGGTATATACATCGTTAGAGCTCAATAGTGAAGAAGTTAAAGGAGCTGTGCAACGATTTTAACGTTGATAGAATTTGCATCTTCTACTTTTGACATTGTTCACCTTGTCACAAAGGACAGAAAACACATCTCCTTCCTTCAAAATGTTGCGATTCCACCGCGTAATCGCGAGGAAAAAATGATTATACTTCCCGACCTGCAGCCGCGAGCGGCGGCCATGAGAACGTTGCGACATGACATCAATGGGGGACTTGTAAAAAGATAGGAAGTTGTGCAAATACCTGCTCGATAAAAGGTAACTTTTCTATAAATCTTTTCGTTCCAACGTAAATATAAATGCGTCAAAAACTTGGTATCATCGACCAAACTTTTATTATACGGAGTTTTGGTGGCGCCATCTATCCGAGGTCAAGAAAACCGTCAGCTCTATCTGCTACCGCGAACAGCCGCCAGAAGCCGGAGGGGGACGGGGATGGCCGGACACGGGCGAGACTTTCCTCCTCTCGTGCTGCGCAAGCACGTGGTCACGTGGTCGCGAGCGGTTGAGTTCTTGCTGCTCACTGATGGTTCGAGGGAGAGAGAGCTTAACCGGAACCCCGCGCGTCCCCCATTCACGTCAGAGCACACGTGACTCGGAAGATGCTGAAGGAGTTGAGAGGTGCCGAAAAGCTCAGTCTCTGTCAATTATTAAAATAAAAACTAGGACATGCAGGCAAAAGCGGTTTTTTCTTCGTTACTTCAGAAAGGTCGAGACAACTCCCAAATTGTTTAAGCAAAGCACTGAAATTGTTGCACAGCTCCTTTAAGTTCTAGGATACAATTCACCAACCTAAAAAGTTACCGAAGCAATAATTCCGCAAAACGGAAGTGGCAGCTTCGCGAAACATGAGGGATTTGAAATGGCGTTATCATATTAGATAAATACACTCAAAACATACTATAAACGCTATAGAAAAATGTCCCAAATCAAATTTTAAGTTGGTTTAAATACATTGGGAGCCTACATAGTATTTTAGTAAATTCAAAATTCTTTGCACATACGCTTTCTATATATGAACTAAATGCACGCGAAATAGTTTTTTAAAACAAAAGAAAAAACGAGGGCAAAAAAAAAGATACTTCTCTTCGATCGCTTATTTATTTTTTTTCCCCAAGGCAGCACAAACAGCCTGTTGAATTTGACGACCACATTGTGTAATGCACACCATATATGGCGCTGGTCAGTCAGTGCAGGTGGTAGTTTTATTAATGCTTTCATTTTGGACTGAAGCCGTAATAGCATATCGATTACTTTCCATCTACCTTGTCGTGGTGCGTACCGATCCTTTCCGGTGTTAAGGTTTTTGTTCTTGACATTGTTGGCACGATGCTAGTACGCTGAATGCCTAGTCACCAATCTATGGGCTTCCAAAAACTATAACGTAGAACAGCTATATTCATATTAAATTGGAACACCTAATTACCACTGACTGTAGACGGGAAGTAGATGTTTGGAAAACATAAAATGCTTGGATGGTCAAGTCTGAGGGACAATCAAATCAGATGATTAAAGAGCAGAAGTAGACATGCATGCCATTACATTAAAGTTCTTTACTCTTTAAACACACACAACTATTTTGTTAAAAATTTCGAAGCCTAGTCGAATCTTGTCCAGTAATACCAAGCAGACACTCCAATAACGCGTGAAACTTTTATTGCATCTTTAAAGGAGAGAAAATGTAGTTTATTTCAAAGGCAAATGGGTAAACCGAGTACGTTGGGCAGAAAGTTAAAAGGGTAGTTTCATTTTGGACGACTTTATCGCAGGCGTTCACAGGGCGAAATTTCCTCAACGAAGAAGTAGCCTCCAGCATCATCAGAGCTAACGGTGCTCGAGAGTCCTACGCTCATATTTCAACAGAGCGAGAACTATCGGCCAGATCGAGGCCCAGTCAGCTCTTGCGTCGTGAGAGTAAGAATGACACCGGTGGAGGGAAGACGACGACGACGACGACCACACTGCTTTCGGTAGTTCTATCTGTGCCCCAGAGATATAACCATATATTTGCTAAATAGCGGGCCTGTACTTTGTATCCACCGATTGGGTAACAGCAGAGAAGCATCGGACCCTCTAAGCGAAGGGCCCCCTTCAGGAAAGCCAAGCTTCCTGCCAAAATGAACACTGAATCAACAGACCAACTGATGCTCGCCGCCCTGCAAGACATAGGAGCTTTGGGGACCTCCTTGAAAAACGGCTATAAAATTCCGCCCAAGGAAACAAGCACAGATGCAACGACTTGCGCTTCTTCGACGACCGTGCCTGCCTTCGATGACGACGGCAGGCTGCCCGACGGCGACGAATACGAGAATGCTCAGGCAAAGAAGAGACGTAAGACGGACCCACGGTGTCATGCTTCATCTTTCAAGGATGAAGGCAACCTACAAGTTGGATGAACCGTATTGTACATCCCGACGGAGAACCACAAGGTTGAGCCGCTCAGCAAATTCAAGCTTACAGACTACCTGAACAACGTTGCGTCACGCATGGTGAGTGTGGTCCGGATTAACAAAGCTCGGAACAATATCGCAGTTGATGTGAACCGACCTCTCTTTAAAGCAGAGTTTCTTAAGCTGTCCAAGCTCTGCACAGTGCCGATGAGATCCTTTCTGCCGAAAGATCGCTCAAACTGTTTTGGCAATCTGCGAGACATTGACCCTGACTGTACAGAACACTACGTTAAGGTTCATCTACAGTCCTCCCTTGGCGCAGCAGAGGTGAAGCGACTTGGGAGCACGTCGCCCGTAGTGCGAGTCGACTTCACAGGGAAATTGGCTCCTCAACATGACAAAGTGGGGCTTGTAATAACCGAGGTGATCCCCTACCGAGCATGTCCCTTGCAATGCTACAAATGTTACAAGTTTCGACATATTGGAGCTACGTGCACAGCAGAGTTTCAATTATGTTATCGATATGGACTACGCCACGAAGGCAAGTGTGAAGCCAATCTCAGCTGCGTGAACTGTCAAGGACAGCATGCCTCCAACACATCAGAGTACCCATGCAGTCAAGGTAAGAGAGACTGAAGTTAGAAGCTATCGGCTAGAACACAACCCCACTTCTCGTCAGGCAAAATATGCCGTGCACGCTAAACGTCAGGTGAACAAGGAAACGGGTGAAAGAGGCAAACCGACGTTCAAAATCACCACCATTGATGTGCAGTCACTAAATGCGCAGGAGTGCCCTCCTCTTAAAAACCTGGAGAACACAAGTGACGATCATGAGCCGTAGCGTTCACTACAACTCAAAGATGCTCGGAAACCTTCTTTCAGGAAAAACAAAACATCAAAGACATCACTTCACACGCGCCTTGTGATTCGCGTACCTCGGCACCAAACCAGGCTGGGGAAACAGGTACTACATCGTTATTCAAAACCATAATACCACTGGTATTCACCGCTCTTCGTCAAATATTGAAAACAATCCCACCGGCGTCAACGTTTCATCACGCGATTGAAGTGATCCTTTCGGTCGAGTTTTTTTATTGTAGGGATGCTCTGAAGTTTTACCACGCTCACTTCACTAAAAAAAACGAACACTGTTCAGGTTATGCCTCAATCGCAAAAAAATACAGACTTCAGGGAACCCGCGTGCAGGGAAATATACATGTCTTTTTTGAGGGGTTTTTCCGAATTCTGTCACTGTACCCTTGACTCACAAACTAACACCCTGGCTTTCAAGGATACATTTTTGCTCCAAGGGCACTACCGATTCTCACCATACAAGTACTACCACCCTCTATTTAAATTTTTTTTCAGACTCCAAAAAACTTTTTCACAAGGTATAAAAGGCACAGCGTCTCAAAGTATCGCAATAACAATTTTAGCTGTGGCTGACCTTACACTCTGTCCAAGCCCTCCCGCCATGCCTACACATGTTATCAGTAGAGCAAATTCGGTCACAAGCAACTATTTTTTAATGGAATGCAAGGAGTCTTCGCAGCCGGCTATCTGACTTTCGACAATTTTGCCATAACTACCGATTTCCTGTCAGAGCCTTGCCGGAATCAAACATTGCTAGTGATTTTCGTATATCGGGTTACGAGGTTTTTCACTCGACGCGAGGTACAGCTTCAAGCCGAGTACTGGTCGGGGTTGGGAAAGACCTTACCTATATTTCTCAGACACTTCCACCTGACGCTAACAAAGAGTACGTAGCGTTGACAGTCAAAGACGATCGCTGTATATTCACCATAATCACGGCGTATATCCCCCCGAAAACTCAGTTTTACTTATTAACTCTATTATTGAAAGCACTCCTTCGCATATCTTAATGGGGGACTTTAATGCCCATCACCCCTTATGGGGAAGTGAGAAGACAACTATCTGGGGCACCTTACTTGCGACACTTACTCATCAGCATGGCCTCTTTTCGCTGAACGATGGAAGTCCTACTTTTTTTTTCGTAGAACTACGGTGAGAAGCCTCTTGGATTTGACATCTGCCAGCGCAGGCCTCTCAAATTTTATTACGTGGTTCACAGACATCAAATGCCATGGCAGCGATCATATTTCAACGTACACTCTTCTCAAAGGGTTTGGGTCAAATAATAAATCCACTCAAATTAGACGCACCGATTGGTATCTTTTTAAAACTAACTTTGAAAACGGGTGTGATTAATTTGACAGCAAGGAAGAGTTTTTTTCATGGTATCAAAGAAGTTGTGAAGCAATCCACGAAAACATATAATTTGCCTCGAACCTACCCTGTCATCGATGCAGATTACGAACGACTTCGAGCACTTCGAAGGCTAGAAAAACACAGGACCATGAATATATGCGAAAAGCGAGACGCCAACAAAAACGTCTAAAACGTCACCTAGACAAACTGGCTAGGCGCCGTTGGAGGGCTCATAGCGTAACTTTTGATGCTCTCAAGCCTCTTTCTGAGATATACAATCTAGCTTGAAGCTTACGGACACCACCCCAAGGGCATCACCTTCTCCGGGCACTACCACTTGAGCAAGATGTTTCGGAACTAGTTTTGGCTGAAGCCTACAGCAAAAAACGCACAGAAAATGTCACACATCTGGTGGCAGCACTTGTAAAAACTCATAGTCGCATCCGAGCCTGTATCTACATGGGCTAATTATTTGATCCCCATGAACTGGAAAACCCACTTTTCGAAATGAAATGCTCGTCTTCTCCCGGACCGGATGGTATAACTTAATCAGCATGAGCTCATCTGGGTAACAAAGGTTGAAACTCTACAACATGTTGTGAGAAACCTGCGAGGTACCCCGGGCGTGGAAAACACTGCGCATCATACCTATCCTTAAGCAAGGGAAATCGCCTCTGGACCTATCATCGTTCTGCCCAATCGCATTGTCTTCTTGTGTAAGCAAAATGATAGAAAAAAAAAAAAACGATTCACACACGACAGGAGTGGTACCTTAAACAATCTGAGATATACCCTGAGTATATGGCAGGCTTCAGACAAAGGAGGAATTTTCTTGACAACGTCATTGATCTCACAACTAGCATCCAAGAAGGAAGGACATGGCGACGAACGACTACCACTGTGTTTCTATATAAAAGGCGCGTTTGACTCAGTAGGTCACAAGCCTATCCGTGACGCCCGAAGATATGCCGGAATAAAAGGACGTCTCTACGCGTGGATATTAGGCTACTTAAATTGTCGAACAGTTCACATGCTGGCAGCAGACGCAAAGACGACGGAGCATACAGTATCACGAGGCGTGCCGCAAGGCGTAGGTCTTAGTCCTACACTTTTCAGTATTACTCTTCTGGCACTCGTAAACAAACTTCCCCAAGACGTCAGCATTACTCTTTACGCGGAAGACAACTGCACATGAACGTCATTAATTACGCAGCAATTTAATCGGATCCGCTTACAAAAATCACTTGAGATCAACTCCAGCTACTTACAACACCGTGGACCACCTCGATCCCCTTCAAAGTCAGCTGCTATGGCATTTACAAGAAAGGGTGTTCATAAGTAATGCCTGACACTTGATGGTTATCTCATATATTATGTAAAAACGCACAGATTCCTCAGAATAGTTATGGACAAGACTTTGACATGGAGACCGTACATAAAACAACTGAAAAGAAAGCTTCGGGGCATTATTCAGCTCATGCGATTCATAAGTCGGCTTTCTTCGATACAGCCTACCGATACTTCATGGGATGTGCCATAGAAATATGAGAACCTTGGAGGGTATGCAGGCTCAAGCTCTACGAGCCTGTCTATAGGACTCCCAAGGTGCACCTCGAATGTCGGAACTGTCGCTGAGGCTGGGGTTGTTCCGATTGGTGCGCCCAGACTTCAAGAAATCCCTCGAGCGCGCCTCCGCCACCTGACAAGGGAGAGAAACCACTACCTAGCAGATTTCGCAAACAGCAGAAGCGGGTCTGGTTTTTTCCAAATTATGAATGTCGGCAACTCGGATCTTCTACGAGATTTCGAACCAGCAGAATTATTGTTGTTAACACCATAGATGTATTCAGTAATTGCTATAAAACGAGATGTTCCAGGGATACATTCAAGAAAACATACTCCACGGAGGTATTGGGGCAACGTTCTCCAGAAACCACTAATGTGCATCACCATTCCCGAATTCAAGTGCACACTGATGAGTCTTCTACTCACGAAACTTCTAGCTACGGCTTTGCTACACCACCACTAAATAAAATACTCCACGGAAAGCTGGGCCATGTAACATCATCGACGGTAGCAGAACTAGTAGTGAGTAGAGAAGAAATTCACTTCATTTCTACGGGTGCCCCAAACAATTGGCCACTTTTAACTGATTCAAGGCCAGCTCTTCAGAGCCTTAAATTTACCAAAAGCAAGAATATCAATGCTCAGCTTGTACACCAGATCCTAAAAATTCCTAAAAAGGCTATAAATCAGTGGTCTCAAACTCATTTAAGTGTGGGGCCAGATAGCCCACAACGGAAAGGCCGAGGGCCAACGTAAAACGGGGGAGGGGGGGGGGGGGGGGGGGCGGGGTTCGAATATTTTAATGAGAAGAGACCTCGTGCCCTATGCTTTTCGTAAACTCACAGTTTTGCCAATGACATCTTCAAATTTGATTTGTTCATATGACTACTTTGGGTGACCTGATGTGATGACAGAAATTAAAATTACACTGCCCCGCCAACGTGCTGGCATTTTTAATAGAACAAGAGAGCAAGTAATCTGTCATTCCCAGCTCGTTATGTCTTTAAAAAACAATAATTAAATTTGGCAGTTCTTGAATTTATCACAATTTTTATTATAACAGTGAACAAATTGTGATTTTTTTTTAATTGTGATATTTTTTGAAGGTGAGAATCGCGAGCTCATAGCTTTATTTTTGGCGCTTGCTCCTGCTAAGCGAGAGTTTGCACAGCCGACATGCATCCTTCAACGAATCGCTCAAGGTTGCAGACTAGTAGCACAATTGTTGTACATTAAAAAAAAAAAAAAAAAAAAAAAAAAAAAACTGGGAAGCAAGAAATAAAGCGAAACAAAGGGCAAATGAACACCGAGAAATATAAAATGTGTGCATACGTTAAAAAAGCAGAGCTACTTTTTGAGCTAAAATGAATCGACGAGATGAGATCACTATGACACATGCCATTTCTAGCGCCCGAGACATGGAAACCGGGACTCGCAGCCGGTTGCCTGAGGGCCGTTTCCCAGCGAGTCGCGGGCCGCATGCGGAACGCGGGCCGCGTGTTTGAGACCCCTGCTATAAAAAAAAGTCAAATTTGGGGGTTTTACGTGCCAAACCAACGACGAGCATCTGGCACGTCCCAGCGGAGGACTGAGGATTAATTTCGACCACCTGGGGATCTTTTGACGTGCAGCCGAAAGCTCGGTTACACGGCGCCTTGTCCGCAATAAGCCTCCGTCAGATGGCGGGCACCTCGGCCGGGATTCGAACCCGCCACACGGGGATCCTTAGGCCGGCGCTCTGGCCTCGGAGCCACCGAGGCGGCTGCCTGCTGTAAATAATGGCCGCACACTAATTTTCAGTGCATCCCGAGCCATTGCGGTATTAAAGGAACGAAAGTGCTGGACTTTGCAGCCCAGAATGCTCATCATCTTAAATCCAGACTGGTAATTCCATTCTCACGTTCAGACGCCAGAGCCACAACCAACCGTATTACGGCGGCTCTTGTAAACACCCTCTGGGCGAATTTATTATACCAACACAGGCACCTTCATAGGATTGACCCCTTTCTCAGCTTTCGTCCTCTCCGAGGGCTCAAACGTCGGACACAAACCACCCTTCACCGAATGCGACTGAACGTGGCCTCAACGAAATGTTACCTGAATATCACCGGTCAGCTGGGCTCTATCTGCGAGAGCTGTGACGTCGTAGAAACGCCGGAACACGTCCTTTGCCACTGCGCCCCCTACGCTGTCCAAAGAAACAAAATGATAAACTCCCAATCCCCGCAACGGAGAAGCGCTAACGCTCAATCGTCTCCTGGGGCCATGGCCATCAGCATCGCAAAGAGTCAAGTTGACGAGCTCAGTGATTCGTTGTTTCCAAGCGGCCAAACTAGATAAAACACTGTAGTACACGCTCCAAAAGTAACTGACAGCCCTATCTCAACGTTCTCTTTCTTTTTTTTATTTTTTTGCTTCTTTCCCCCTTTCCATGTATGAAGATAGCAATCCTGGAAATTCCCGCAGGATAACCTCTTGATCTTTCCAATAAATATGTTTCTCTCTCTCTCTCTCTCGCTCTTGCTTTGCGATTGAATGGATGCAGGGGTGGCCAAAATATGTGACTAAAATGAAGTAAATACGTGTGTTAAATACATTTGGAATGTACTTGAGGTACACCCTGTTTTCGCTAAGGGACGAACAGCGTAAACAGGTATGAATCAATGCAAGGGATGAAGGAGGTAAAACGTTGTAAAGTGAAAATTGCGATTTATTTATTTCGCGAGTTCTTGAAATCAATCGTTTTTTCGGTTGAAAGTAGCGTCTGTTGTCAAGAAGGTAGTGATACGCATATCCTGGCGCTCACAAAGACAGTGTGACCCTAGGCATCAAGAGTAAATAAGTTTCACACTTGCTTTCTATCAGGTATGTTCAATCTTGGTGGGGATGCGTCGACAAAACATAGAAGTTTCAGTCTTCGCGTGCTTCGAGATCTGGGTTTCGGAAAGACATCAATGGAAGAGCATATCAAGGTAAGTGTAACGGCTTACCTAATAATCATTGACATAAAACAGAGCAGGTCTGTTGATTAGACATGATCTTCAGAATTATCGCGTTGAACTGCTTGTTTATAAAATAAGGATAGAGGTTTGTAGGTGCACAATGGTTCAAAAGGTCTGTGTTCGTAGTCACCTCGGTGACATGCCCGGTGTGTTAACAACCTGAGACCATCAAGCACGTATTTTGTTTTGACGCCTTTTTGTAGCGTGAGCTACACTGGCCGAGGTTGAGCAATTTCGCGTGGCTCGCACAATGAGCCGTGCTCCGTGCTGAGCATGCGCGAGGAGCATTGACGTCACACGGCGCACAGCTGGCGCGCCGGAGCTGCCGCCGCCGCGCGCTCCGCCGTCGCCGCGCCCGCCTCGCCGGTGTGCGCATTCCAGAGGAGTGACGTCATAGCCGCGGCAGACGCACTGGCGCCCCCGTGTGCCCAGCTGTGCGCCTCCGTTGCGCAGTAGCCAAGTCTGACGCTGCACCGGAGCCGCTTTATAGCGCCTCTCATTTTGTGCGCATAAGCTCACGCTACGTATATCCTGGCATAGCCAAGCTAAGCCACCGCAATTTATTTGAAGGGGCGTCCTACAGAGAAGTTTGAAGAAAGGCTTTAGTGTTAGCTCATTGAGCATACGCTATTTGAATGTCAAAAATGACGACTGTGTGCCATTCGATATTTTTTTCTTTTGGGGCTGTGCATCATATGGCGGTCGCGCATGGCAGTACGGCATGCCGACCCGAGCGCAAAAGAAGATTTTCTTTTTTCAACCTTGTCAAACGAGTGTAAAGAGTTTTTGTTTACACATGAACCGAATTATTTTGGGGTGTGCTCTTGGAAATCCGTGCTTTTTAATCTGACATACAAAAGTCGTGCAGCGCACTTTTAACCTAACCTGTAGTATGACTGTAAACTGGGCGTGTTGGTAAACGTTGAACATAATGAAAATTTGCGGACACAGAAACAAGGACAAAATGGAAAAGAACACAGAACTCAGACACGCGCGTACTCACAACTCTGGCATCCTCCCTGGTGCCGGTATCCCCTGCTTGAGTCTTGCTTCATCGTTCTTCTTTTCACCTATGATATCAGAGTGGTGAGCACGCCTGTCTGTGTTCTGTGCTCGTTCCTCTTTTGTCCTTGTCTATTTGTGCGCGAATTTTCAATATGTTTAACTTGAACGGACACCAATTGTGCGTGCATGCAATTTAGAAGAAGAAAAAAAGTCGCCCCGGTGACACCTATGCAGAGCGCCGGCCAACAGATTCCTAGGTTGCATGCAGGTTCGGATCCCAGCCGAGGTCCCCGCAATCTGATGGAGGCGCATTGCGGAAAAAGGTGCCGTGTAATCGAGGTTTCGGTTCCCCATCAAAAGATCACCCGGTGTTCGAAATGAATCCCCAGTCCTCTGCAGTGGTGTGCCAGATGCCCTTCGTTGGGTTGGCACGCAAAACCCCGATATTTGACTTTGGTGGTCGCTCGCTCATTCCTGCTCACATCGCTGGAAAGAATGGGCCCTCTGGCGTCGCTCTCCCCAAAAAGGGAAATAATTTCTCCAGTCTGTCTAAATTGTGATAAATGTTCACATCTTCAATAAGAGTTTTATTTCACAGCATTCGCAAAACCGTGTGTATGCGCTGGAGTATTCCTTATTTTTTTTTTTTTATTTCAGGAGGAACTGTTTGACTTTGTCAACGAGATCGACGGAACCAAAGAACGTGGTGTCCCTGTTCTCGAGTTGATCCTCCAAAGCCTGATGAACGTTACAAGCGCCCTCTTGTTTGGAACCAGATACCCTCTAGGCGACCCCAAGCGAAAATACCTGGCACAGCTCGCCACGGATTACATGCAGCGAGTCCACTGCGCACCGATAATCCAATTCAAACCGCAGTGGCTCTGCCGATTTGAAGCCAAGCTGCCCTTCACGAGGACGGGTGCTATGCGCAAATGTCGTCTCGCGATGATCGACTTCATCAGGTAAAGGTGTATTCACAAGACGAACTTGTCCCCGCACAAGTTCCCACAAAATCGGAGATGTCACGTTTTCTGCGCTTAAAAATTCGCCATGTTCCAGGCGATAAAAGCATGCAAAACTCAAGAGCTGGACCGCGGATCACAGGAACGTGTCTGGGGACAAGTCCGCGGATTTCTGGACTGTTGTGTATTACGTGGGTAAACGTCAGAAAATAGGTCTGTGGACCTGGAGTACCGCGTTTCTTGAGATTTTAAACACCGATGTATTGTCGCTTTTTCCTGGTCCAGCGAGGTCCGTTCCAGGTCCGCGGATTCAGACTCATACACGCTACTAAAAAATGTGAGAAATAACATTTACAATTACCCACGGCTAAATTGTAACTAATTACAGTCACAATATTATAATAAGGTTGAGAGCTGGGCTAGTTGGCAGTTGTTAAACATGATGAGATAAAACAGCGCAAAAAGGTAAAAAAAAAAAAAGCGACAGACCGGACAAGACAGAGCGCTGTCCTGTCCGGTTTGTCGCTTCCTTTTGTACTTTTTTGCGATGTTTTATCTCATTATGTTTTACAGATACAATTACACTTCCATAAAAGTAGGTGACCGTTACTTCAAAAAAGCAATTCGTTACTTTCATGGCGTTACTTTCAAACTTAGTTTCCTAGGGTAAGAAACAAAACACAAGTGGTATGAAAGCGTTTATTGTTTCCGCCACTCACACTTTTCTGACCTTGAGCAACATCTTGCTCCCAAAAGTCTAATCGGATATCTTGCCGCGTTTCCATGTGACGATGTCGTCCACCGCGCTGAACACTTTTTCAGTCCACCTTTTTCCAAATAGGTGCTGCCACCTGGACACGTGACTGGGTTCTAGATTGGGTGGCTAGAATACAACGTGCTCGCAGAGCCATTCCCACCCTTTCGACAGCCAAGAAGTTCTTGTTGCCCCATTGAGACGCTGTGACCTCACTAAAGCCCCCCCCCCCCCCCCCCCCCCACACACACACACACACCAAACTTCGTTTTTGTTCCCAGCGTCGATTATATTCGTCCCTGAAGTTCACATAAAGAAGTAATCTCTTTTTTTCTGTCGGCTAGAAGGAAGCAAAGAAATAGTGAAGGGACAAAAAGAAGGTGCGCACAGATGCGCTAAAGTATAGCTGGCGTGCACATTAGAGCGTCTTTTTCCAGTTGGAAGGAAACATTTCGACCTCGGGAGTTCGCCTAATATTGTTTGCACAGAGATACCTGATCTTTGAACCAGTGTGGTTCCCTCTGAATTCTGGGCAAGCAAGCTGACGAGTTAGGAATTGCAAACAACAAAGCCACGAAAAAATAATTCGAGTCGAGGCTTTAGGTGACGGGAAGAAAGGCTTGAAGCAACTATAGAATGCCAGGCCTTGCGTTCTGTAAATGCACGTGACAGTGTCATTCCGGCAAAGTTTACCCTTATCAAAAATATTTCTGACTACTTTATTTTTGCCAATATTCGAAATTTTCGACTTTTTCCTCCTGGGGGGAGGGGGAGGGGGGGGGGGAAAGGGGGGGAAGGGAAGTAGCGAATAACAATAATTCCTGTACTTAAAATAATAAATAAATTACTTTACAGTTCTAAAATATGTAAGTATTCCCTTTCAAAATTACTGACAAATGTAAAGGATTAGTAGTAGTTTTATTACTGGTAACGAATTAAAGTCTGCGCAGGATTCTGCTAAGAGGTATGCAAATTGGTGCCGTGGTCGTGGCGAGCCGGAGAAACTTCATGGCAGAGCCGTGGAGGCTTTACTCCTCGCCACCACTCGCCAGGACACGCTCCGGCTATAGTCAGTTACAGGCAGACATGTACAAATTACTCAAAAAAGGTAATTGAGTTAAGTTACTGAGTATCGACGCCAAAAGTAATTGGAGTAGAGTAGAAATTACGCATTTGCAATAGTAATTGTGTAAACTACTAACTACTGGACAAAGTAGCGAGTTACTTTGAAGTTACTTTGAAGTTACTTTTTTATATTGAACAGCAGTTTTGATCCGTGAATGAACAGCAGTTTTGTTCCCTGAAAAACCCTGCGAGCCTAAGATAAATGCAGTCATATTATGGCTTACGATTTCACCAAAGTAGTTTATTCGCTCGAATCCTATCAAGAACTTTGAAAGTTCTTAATAGAAGAATTTTCCACTTTTCTTCCTAAAGACGTCCCCAGTCAAGCTGAAAATACGTTCCACCGACGCGCTGGATGGAATGGGCGCGTTCAGTAGCGCCTCCCTCGCCTCCGAACGGAGTGCCTCGAGTCGGAGTCATCGGAGCGCCTACTGAACGGCAAAAAAAAACCGCGGCTCCAAACCTGCTTCTACGCAACTTCCGCTTCCTCCCCTATGCCAGACGGTCTGCGAATAAACTGGAAGCAGACGATGGCGAGCACGATCGCTTTTATTTGACGCCGGTATTGAAGAAGTCTTTACAAGGTCGTTGAAGAAAAAGCGGGTGATTGTACACATCAGCGCTGCTGTTCGAAGCGATGCAACGCGATCGAGCCCTTCGCTTGGCGGTGCAAAGGCAGCTACTGTTATAAAAGCCGACAAAAATCGTCGTCAGTACACTCAAAATACCGAGCTCAGCGAATCTGCCCCGCCGGTTGCGATACTTTTATACGGCCATAAGTTTGTTCTGCCCTTCGTAACGAACGGGAAGTTCGGCCGCGCTCGGCGATCAAGGTTTTGTCGGCCGAAGCGAGCCTCAGCCAACGTGCACCCCGATTTAGCTACGCAAACAAAACATTAATCGGTATCATGCTCTGCGTGAGTGTCCAACCGGCTTCCAAAGTCGCGTTCATACCCTGTTTTTCTCTGTTGAGTGCGGACCGGACTATCGTCAATATTACCGAGTTTCCGTGCAACGGCGATCAAGAGACGGCGCGTCAAATGAACGTTTGCGTTGTTTATTAGCATATTCAAACCAGACAAAATACGGTCCAATGCATTTTCCGAAAGAGCCTTACCTCAAAAAGATATTCGAACGCGTTATTCGTCTCACCTTGAGCACTTTTCATTAACAAAAGCGAGCAAACCACCCGCGACAGAACCGAAGCAGCTTATCCCGCCATATTGTTTGTTTTTTCCTCTTTTAGCGCCGGAAATCGTCAACAGTCAGGAAATTACGTCATTTTAGCTCCTTTGACTCTACGTGCACCGTCTCCGGACTCGGTGCTTCGGAGCTTGACTCCGAAGCCCCGGAGTTACGTGCACCGGAAATGACTTTTGGCCGTCCAGTGGAAGGAGTCAGTGACTCCTTGACTCCGGGGCCGCTACTGAACGCGCCCAATGGTAGCGTTGAATTTGAGAAACAGGCTGTGCAGGGTCGGGTAAGCGAGTGTCGGAATCTTAGGTGTCCATGACGAAACATGTGAGGTTCGCCTCGAGTAGGGGGTCTTTTATAACAAACTCCCCTCCTTCTTTTTTTTTTTGTCAAGTTGAGATTGTTATGACTGGCCCCTCTTAATTCTTTCGACGTTCTGAGAGTAGGCTGAGCGAGTGCACCTGACCGTCAAGGGTCAGGTGCACTCGCCTGACCCTTGCGCGAGACACGACGATCTCATCGTCGTCTCTCGCGCCACGACGATAAGATCATCCGGACGACTGCGCGTCTCTTTGCAATGCTAGTGCTACGCTTCTGAAAAAAAAAAAATGTTCAGGTTTAACAGAAGATGAACCGAAGTATACTTCGCCGCTGACGCCGGGTCCAACAAAAGGATCTCCCAAGGGCAACTCACTATCCTCGCAGGCGACTATGGTATCCTACGCGCCTGACATGCCCGACAAGTAAATTGTTTTCAACAAAGAGGAGGTCTCCCTGGCATGGAAGGTCGGAAGGGCGCAAAGGATTACGTGAACAAGCATCGTCGCTCGTACAGTTGCAGTTGGACGCGGGAACGTGCTCCCATGAACTGATTATCCGTGTCTGGGGTTGTGCGCGGGGGAGTCCGGCTTTGCAAAGGCGTATGCACTGACGACGAGGCGACCATAGGAACAGGCGCCCAGCAAAGTCATTCCAGTGGCGCCTCCCGTTGAACCCCCAAACCGCTTGAGGCAGAACTCACTAAAGACAGACAACACGAAAACAACAACAACCTTCGGAGTGTCTTTCATGGTTGCAGCTGGAGACGCGGCGCCTGCGTGCATTACCGGATTAGGTCAATACCCGTCCAGGGCTTGTTAAGCACCTCTTTCTGCGTTCCTGAGCGCCGGTGTTATGTTTTGGCTGCCCGTCGCCACCTTGGGCCAACGACGTCTGTGATGCAGTTTCTACGGCTGCCGAGTATAAGTGCGTGGGAACGGAATGTAAGGGGGCCCCTTTTTCGGGGAATGCGCACTTCATCTGCCGGCGTCTTATTTATTTCTGCGCTCAAATTTTCGTGATGAGCAAAATTAGCACTAGATTTTGAAAGCAGTTAGTAATTTGAGTAGAAGTTACCTGAAAAATGTAGTTAAATTAAACTACTAATTACCCAAATCAAGTTGTAATTGAAAGTTACCAAGTTACTCGGAAAAGTAGTTAAACTACAGTACTTTGAGTAGAGTAGTTGAACTACGTCCAAGTCTGGTTACAGGTTAAGAAAAGTTTTCGAGGGAAAGGACGGCTGGGGAGGAGGAAGCAAACGGAATGCTAGAGAGCAGGGGAGGAAACCCCCTCTTCTCTCCAGTGTTCCGTCTGCTTCCTCCTCCCCAGCCGTCGTTGCCTCGAAAACTTTTTTAGCCTGTAACTGGCTATAAGCAGAGTGTGCCCTGGACCAGGCGGGTTCTTTCGGTCGTGCACAAGTCACCTAGCTGTGTTTGGAGATATGTGTTTGTCCTTTATTGGGACCCCCTTCCCCTTCTCCAGGGATTATTTTTGTAATTCTTGTCCATCTCGCTTTCATCGCTTGCATTTAATTTCATTATCATCATAACCTTAAAAATGCAAACCATTCACTCTTGTTGGTGTTAGACGGGGGGCAGCTGATAAA